AAACAACTCTAATTTAGCACAATTAACTGATTAAGGTGGAAAAATAACTAAAGGAAAATTAAACAAAATTCCTCCATCAGTTCCAGCTCCAGCTGATCTGGATTTGCAGAACTATGAAATTAAATAAACTTTGTGATGGAGGTAGAAGGATCCACCACAAACACACAAAAAAGACGCTGTTTGTGGTTGTTTTGTTATTCTCACAGCAATCATTTGTTTAACTAGACGGCAAATCTTCAGTAAAATATATCCAACATGGAAATATTTTGAAAATTAAATTTTACATTCTTTCAATGTGGGTTGGCTGTTGTATTTCTGAAATCTATTGAACCCAAACTTAATGCTACTCAGCTTTGAGGATGGAGAGAAAGAAGAGAAATTAATAGTGAAAAAGTTAATTAATACTTGATTTATTTAAAGTCTTTGAATGACGCATGTTTTCAATGCCATCATTTACAAGTGTTTGGATAATTTTCATTGCTGATGTGTGAGTTTATTACAACTAACATTAGCTGCCTGTTGTGAGTCAAAACTGATGTTTTCCACAATAGCTTATCTAATTAAGACAGTTGCTCTGATATACAGTTATAATCGTCATTCTGTACGTGGCAAAATTTTGAAATGGAATGAGGGCGGTGTCCTTCAGCCATTTACAAAGTGTAATATTTCGATAAGGCTGGAGCCATAGATGTCTACTTATCTGCTAATGTGCATGATGTAAAATATGATAATGTGCTAGACTGGAGATGTATAAAATGCCTTTTTAACTCTTAATCATGGGAACTTAATGAGAGGTGAGCCTGGAAGTCAGCAGCTGCCCTCTGTAAATTCTAAGCAACTTCTCTGATCTTAGTAAGATTACAATTTCGATCAGTATCTGTTGTCATGTCTCATGGTTATTTAATACATATAAGTTATTAAGTATTATTTAATAACACTTAATAACTTATTTAATACATATAAGTCATTAAGTGTTATTTAATAACACTTAATAACTTATATAACTTATAAAATTTAATAAGACTTATTAATAACACATAGCAGGACTTTTTCAGGAAAAAGAACCAAAGTGATAGAGCTTCGAGGTGCAGACACAGAGCCTATCTTTAACACAAGTTTTGTAGTTCCACATTTTTGATCTGAATCATTTATGGTCTCTTAGATGCTAAAATCCATTTTAAATCATGAGTATTTGTTTGTATAATCATGTTTATTGGACAGTTTTTTTTTTATACATTTCAAGTTGCTCTGTGAATTTGAAGCTATTTCCCATGCTTAACTTTGAACATTGTACTTTACCTGACTATGTCGTAATACTTAATATTGCACAGTTAAGGTACCATAACCTCAGAGAGGTGTTCAATAAGGGCAGGACCACAGCCCTACCTCCCCATAGACCTACTGCCCAGTACCACACTCCCTAGGGGTCGGTTATATTCCTTGTCAGCCCCTGAATCCCAGGCTATGGAGAAATACATTTCCAAGTCTCTTAGGGCTGGCATGATCCGTCCCTCCTCCTCCCCTGCTGGGGCAGGCTCATTTTTGTAGGCAAGAAGGACTGATCCCTCAGACCTTGCATTGATTACAGGGGTGTCAATGATATTACGGTTAAGAATCAGGATCCTATTCCCCTTATTAACACCGCATTTGATCATATTTAGGGAGCTAAGGTTTTTACCAAGCTGGATCTCTGGAATCAGGGAGGTTGATGAGTGGAAGACCGCTTTCAACACCCCGACTGGCCGCTATGAATATGTGGGGATACCTTTTTGGCTCACCAATGCACCAGCGGTTTTTCAGAACCTGGTTAATGAGGTTCTTAGGGACATGGTTGGTCACTTTGTCTTTGTTCACATTAATGACATATTCATCTACTCACAGGACTTTGAGTCTCATATGCTTCATGTGAGGTCTGTGTTGCTTAGCCTTCTCCAGAACCAGTTATTTGTCAAGGCAGAGAAGTGTGAGAACTATTTCTTTTCTGTGCTTTGTTGTCTCCCCCGACCAGATCTCCATGGACCCCATGGAGATCTGGTGCTTCTACTGCTTATCTGATCCACCTGTTTTCAGCTCCAATATATGCTGTGTGTTTTTTTTCAGCTACCTGTGCCAGATTATTCAAGCTGTTTTGTGTGAATAACTCTAGCGTTCTGTTTGTTGTTCTGATTATCTGATTGTGACCTGTGTCTGTCCTGTGGATCCTGAGTTTTGCTTTGCCCTTGTCTGCTCTTGAATCAGCTTTTTTCTGGACTGATTCCTCTATTCTACTTACTCACCAAACTTGAATTGTTCTTCTGACCTCGGCTTGGATTCCCCTTCTGTACCTCATAGGCTCTCGGATCTTCTGGTCTGTTTACTTGGTTCTGCTACGACTTCTGCTTTGGATATTCCCTTCCGAACTCTGTTGCCCCTCGGCGTCAGTTGGCATCAATTCCACTCAGAAACAGGTCAGTGACTATTTACTCTTAATTGTTATCAGCACTTATTAGTCACTGAACTTAGTTTCTGTTCCTACATAGGGCCCTGTTTATCCAGCTGATGAGCAGCCGCATGCTGAGTGTTCAATAAAGACTTGTTTTGAACTAATCCTGATCTTTCTGCTGATTCTATAGTTAAATTCTATTCCCAGCCCGCTGGGAAT